AAGGACCCAAGAAGGGCCCCAACCCCCCCCCCCCCAACATCAGCACCCTCCTTCTCTGTGGAGTGAAAATCAAAAAACGTTCTTGTGTGAGATGTGCAATAAATAAATAGTGCCAAGTGCGATGCATGGCAGGCCTCGCGGCCGGTATGAGCAATGCTCCAAGCCGGCCATAAGGTCTGCGTAGGAAGCATAGTGCAAGAAAAAGCATTAGGTGACATGACCTTGTGCCAGTGCCTCACAGTGAGGTCCCAAGCCCATAGTGTTTTTCTGGCATCCCTTGGATGCCACCCCAAGGGGGTACATTTATCGGGAGCTCCTTGGGTTTTTTCTGGCACCCCTGGGATGGTCCCAAGCCCATAGTGTTTTTCTGGCACCCCTGGGATGCCACCCCAAGGGGGCAGATTTACCGGGAGCTCCTTGTATTTTTTCTAGCACCCCTTTTTTTTTTCTGGCACCCCTGGGATGCCACCCCTAGGGGGACAAATTTACCGGGAGCTCCTTGTATCTTTTCTAGCACCCCTGTGTTTTTTCTGGAATCCCTGGGATGCCACCCCAAGGGGGTACATTTATCGGGAGCTCCTTGGGTTTTTTCTGGCACCCTTGGGATGGTCCCAAGCCCATAGTGTTTTTTTGGCACCCCTGGGATGCCACCCCTAGGGGGACAAATTTACCGGGAGCTCCTTGTATCTTTTCTAGCACCCCTGTGTTTTTTCTGGAATCCCTGGGATGCCACCCCAAGGGGGTACATTTATCGGGCGCTCCTTGGGTTTTTTCTGGCACCCCTGGGATGCCACCCCAAGGGGGAAGATTTACCGGGAGCTCCTTGTATTGTTTCTAGCACCCCTGTGTTTTTTTCTAGCTTCCCTGGGATGCCACCCCCAGGGGGGCAAATGTACCGGGAGCTCCTTGTATTTTTTTTTAACCCCTAGCCAGACAAAGATAGCCCCATCCCTACCAAAAGGCATTGGCACCAGGGCGGTTCCTGCCTACAACCATGGACAAGCCTGGTGCACCAGGCCAGAATCAACCCAGGAGGAAAAGAACCCCCCGTCCCCACCAACAGGTAATACTGGACTGCCATCCCCAGGTTCAAGGACGAAACCATTCTTCCCTGACAAATGATAAGAACAGACGCTACATTTGATCTTAGCCAGAAGATGGAGAAGCGATGTCATGTTATTTTAATGCCGGGCCCATTGACTTTATTTGTTGAGCCCCAGGGTGACCCGATCCACCCTGCGCTTTTTCCCTCACTGCAGTCACTCCACGCAGGGAATCGATGGTGAATAACTGATAAAGGCAACAACTTGCTATGCGACTGCGGCAAATGTTCCAAAACCACGCTGGCCAGTACAACATTGGACGGATTAGAGATACGCCGGCCTGGATTTCCCATTGAGGGATGGCCAATCCGGATTTAGGGCTAACGTTGGCAAACAGCGGCCCGGATTAGGCGAACGCATCGGCGGACCCGGAACCACGAGCGCGTTCGCTTTAAGGTTCGCAGATCTTCAAACGGGCATTCAGTTGCAAAATCATGATTAGAGCATTGTGAATGTGTAAGGAATAAAGAGAAAATGCTTTAAGCCCCCCCCCCCCCTCCCCCCCTTCTCACAACACCCCC